AGAATCCGACAGACGAAGGTAGCTCAACCCATTAAACTTCACTAGGCTCGCCTGCCAAAAGAAGGGAACCTCGGCCTCCCCTCGTGATGAAAGACCTCGTCAGCCCTCGGGTCGGAATTCACAGGTCGGATATGAATAAATTCCTTCTTAAAATTTTTGTAGGATTGGGAGTATAGTTGGAACAATCCCCCAACCTTACTCCCACTAAGTGACACCTAACCCAAAGGAGGCTCGCCCAACTTAAGTTGGTAAAAATGAAGAAAGACGGAAAGCGACGCCCTCATCCCTAAGGCTGAGCACAACACTTGGAAGGCTCGCAAAAAACCCTAGCTATTGGGGTGTAATTGACAAGGGGCCACATTAACAAAAAAGAGAGAACCACACTCAAACTCGGTGAATGGAAAAAAAACACCGAGATCCTTGAAAAAATAATGGTACATGTAGAAAAATGGGGTGTTCACAGTATCCGCCATGAAAACACGCTCACCGGGCTGACAAGGCTCAACCTGGATGAGCTTGGAAATGGACGACTTACAAATCGTCAACGACTTCCATAGGGCATTGACCTCGAGGAAAGTTCTAAACACACTCTAGAACTCCCTAACATCCCCCCTTAACCCACTCGTAGCCCGAAACGGAAATGGCAGGATGTGAATCTTTAGAGTTATTTCCACCCTTTTTCTTTTTCTCCTCATCGGCGCGACCACTTCCCCGGCCACCACCACCGCATCCCCACCCGCTTTGGCCTTCCCTTTGCCCTTGCCCGACGCGACCCTGGGGGGAGCGGAACCCTCACCAACCATCGTTCGAACCACAACTAACAAAAGGGGAGAGATTGAGAGCAAATACCTGATACTCCTAGGACCAAAACTCGCAAACATCGACGACGAGCGAAGTGAGCACTACTACAGGGGAACAATGGGGGCGACGGAGAACGTAGAGAGGCTAGGAAATGAAACACGAAGAAGACAAAAATGAAGCTGTGGGGAAATAAAGAGGGAAGCAAGTGTTTAAAACAAAAAACGACACGGGGACAAAAACATTAAATAGGGCTCATAATGATAGGGCACGCCCCATCATTACAAGCCGTCACTCTTTATGACAAGCCACCCTCGATTCGTGAAACGAGGCGATGTTTCGATGACACGTGGCACTCAACCTAAAAATCAAGATGAAAAGCCACGACCCTTCACATGAACTCGACATTAACTCCTCGGCTAAAAGCACTCGGAACTCGGGAGACTAGTGTACCGCCCACATCGGCACCGGGGCCCACCTCGACACCGGGGCCCACCTCAGTGCCAATGAGATCGGACCACGCCAACTTATTGAGATAAACTTACTCTCCACCTGATAAGATAAACTGATAAGATTGAGATCTTATCAAATCGTAACCAAACTCATCATCACCAAGAAAAAATCCTAATCCACATTAAGGTACGTGCATTATATATATGAGACCTGCTCACTCACAAAAACTAACTTAAATATTGAAGTCTCTTTTGTAAGTACCAACCTTATCTCGAAACAGCAGACGTACCAAGTAAAACAGGCTCGCCGATCTTACTTAGAAGTCAGTGATTAAGTCATTAAATATATAAATCATCACTTAAATTATTTAATTTTATGAATATATATATATATATATATATATATATATATATATACGATATTTTAATTACATTATATTATTTAGTTCTCTTGAAGTAAAAAGTAATATGCATATTATATTGTCATTATAAAACAAGATCACGAGAACTAAAGAATTTGATCTAAATTTTGTTCTTTAATTTATGCATAAAAATATTATTTTAATTTACTCTCGAACTCAATAATTAATTTTTTTAATTGTATTATTGATAGGAAATATGTACCTATTTTATCAATAACTAATTTCTTTAATTTAGGGAACCTGACTTGTCAACTTTAGTAATATCTGTTTTTTTTTACTATATTATTTTCATATATAATATCCGAATTTGAAATCTTACTTCGTATAAACTTGATAAACTTTGATTTAAGTATAATCTTAGTGGTAAAAAATCTCAGTGATTTTAAGTATAAACTTCGTAAACCAAATAAAATATAAACTTCGATTTTCATTATTATAATTTAACCCTTCAATTTTGTACGAGTCTGCTTTCATCTATCTTTACTACTAATAATTAAGTAAATGATAAACAGTTCCCTGATTAAGAAATTAAAAATAAAATATTATTATGAAATATTATTAATGTATTCTCACTATATTTTTAATGTACATTCAATAGCACATATATATATATATTTATGATTTCTCAATTAGTATCATTAATTTCTACTAGAATAGGATTGTTTCTACCGATGATACATGTTGTATAGAAAAGAAAAGAAAAACCAATACCCTTAAATGATTAACAATGCCTATATTAATAGTTGGGGTAAAAATTTATTTTCTTATGTGTTCTATCAGAAATTAGTCGGCACTATTGCAATTACGAGATACTTCCTACAAGTATATTCTCGTGAAGGTTTAAACTTTGGCCCTCTCCTTAATAGTGTTTCAATTATCACCACACACAACACTTTTTTTGTTTACTTGAAACAATAGCAAGTATTGATACTGTTTCATTAAATATAAGAAATTAAAAAAAATACAAAGATCACTACAACACAAATAGCTTTTAGCAACATTTGAAAATTGTTACTTAATGATGTATAAATGTTACTAATTTGTTTTAGCAACATATTATCAAATGTTGTATATAGTCTATGTTGCTAAAGACTTTTAATAACATTTTTATATAATTAGGTAACATTTTTTAAATGTTAGCAAAGTAGTATTTTTGTAACATTTTAATGATGTTGCTAATATTTTGTTAATTTATAAAATAATAATTAATTTAATTTAGATATATTACTATTAATTATTATATTTTTTATGTCTGTTAAACTCTTAGGAATTCTTAGTTACCTTTTAGGAGAAGACATTCTTAATTAGTTACCACTAATTATATATAAAATATCAAATTTCATTTATCTTAAGTATAACTATATGGTTATATATACTCTTTATGAGTCATTAATCTATTCGATGTGGGAATTTAATTATGGATAATAATTAGAGATAAGAAAAATATATTTTTTTCTACTTGATGTGGGGCTTTGATTTTAGAAACAATTATAGTAACATTTTTCAAAAAAAATGTTGCCAAATAACTTATGTAAAATATTTTTACTCTATATGAGACCTTGATTTTGAAAATAATTAGAAAGAATAATATTAAAATAAAAATGTTACTCTATCTATAATGACATTTTTTAAAAAAGTGTTACAAAATAACCTATTTATTTAATATTTAGTAACATTTTAACAAATGTAAATAAGAAAATGTTGCTAAAAAATTAAAATCTAGTAGTGGATGTGGTTAACATTTTTTTAGAAACAATGATTATATGATTCGATACATTTATTTTCGTGGGCCAGACACCCGTTTTCCTATACGTATCTTTTAGCCATTTTTGTAGGTCAATACATATCCAAATAACAAAAAATAAAAATTTCATGATATATCTCATATACCTTCAAAATAAACAGATAAATTTACAATTAGATGATGTCATGCTCAAAAAATATTGTAATTTAGAGACAACAAATTAAGAAGAAAAAAAAAAGTGAAAGTACAAGCTAAAAGTTTAAAATTTGGGCCTTCCATATAAGATGCCCACCAGTCTGGTGTTTTTAAATGTGTTGTATGATGGGTCCATGGGTTGTATCCCACATTGAGTTTGGAAAAAGGACAAAAAACAAAAAGACATGTTTGATAGATAGCAATGACAACACAAACTTTAATTTATGCCATCTTTTCCACCTAGCACGAAAGATGCACTTTTAAATGTCCAATCCAAATTTTTAACTTATGAGTTTGAAGAAATTAGGAAGCATAAAACAGTGTTTGGATTACTTTGTTTCATCTCACTTATATCATCTTCTATCGTTGTATTTTTAAATTTTGTGAAGACAAAATAATAGTTCAGGCAATACCTAAACAGCCAGACATGCTTGATGCAACAAGGAGAGTTTACAAAATTATGTAGTTACGATATTAGCATATTCACCTCATATGACTCTTCTCTCATACTCATTAATTAGCACTCAACAGCATACCACATAAGCTCCTTGTATCACTGTTTGGTTAAAAAGTAAATCTTAATACACACATATATTTTACTCTTTCAATTTTAGAGGATATTTATTTTCAATCCCTTAAATTTAAAATTATTATTTTTAATCTATGTATTTATAAAAGTGATCGATTGAAACAATATGTAGTATCTACTGAGTTTAATATGATGTTTTCATTAATAATGATACAATAGTATTTGATCAATTTCTTAAAAAAATTTGAATATAGGGACTAAAACAAAAGTTTTTGAAATTATAAAACTAAAAAAAAAAATTATAACACACACATCTCTCATATGTTAAAAAAAATAACTTTTCACACCCATAACCACTTAATATCAAAGATATGTAACTAATTTTATTCTCAACTTTTTAGTGGATCATTATATCTATTATATGTTAAAAAAAATAACGTTTCATCTTATCTATATAATTGTTAGAGGTACATAGTATATTGACCACTCTAGTATATGTAAAGCGAAATGTTTTTCAATTGTGATTTTTCAATCATTTTTCATTTAATACTTTATATACCTACTACAACTACTCTTTATTAAATGTTTTTTTTTTACAACTCTTAACTAATTAATTCAATTCATTTATTTAATGACAATTAATTATGTACATAATCATGTCAAACTCTTTGTTTATTATGCTAAATAATTAAAAGATTTGAGTCTCCCCAACTCCTCTTCTATCTATCTATCTAACTTTAAGTGATTTGTACCTTCTAAATTATATATTCTCCATATATCCTAAGTGTGTTGTTTAATATTGAATGCATTTCCTCATTTCTAATAACTTCAGGTTTATGGAGAGGATTTGGGGTATGCCGATGGAGAGCCAACCACCTTCGGAACCTCCGGATGGGGGCGTTGGGGGTCTCAAGACGAGTCAGACATTGACCTTTAAGGAGAAGGTACTGGGTGCTTCGGCGAAGCGGCCGGCTGTTCGAGATCTTATTCAGGAGTGGGCGATGACGTTGGAATTTGAGGGTGGAGATCGGTTGCTACCTAAATTTAGCATTACGGCGCCCACCCTTAAACAGTTGTGTGAACCATGGGAACAGTGTTTAGTGATCAAGTTGCTAGGGAGAGAGGTGGGGTTCTTAACCTTGCGGGACCGACTACCTGCTTTGTGGAAGATTCAAGGAGGTTTCGAGCTGCTGGACGTGTCAAATGGTTACTTCATGGTGAAGTTTGATCTGGAGGCGGATAGGGAAAGGGTCATGCACGGGGGCCCGTGGATGCTCTTTGACCACTATCTGATTGTGAGACCATGGTCCCCGGAGTTCGTTGCGTCAGCAACAAAAGTCGATAGTACTATCGTATGGATCCGGTTTCCAGGTTTCGGAGTTATGTTCTATGATGAGAGTGTTCTCCTAACAATTGCTTCGGCTATAGGGAAACCAGTCAAGGTGGAACTTAACACCCTGAACATGACTCGGGGTAGGTTTGCACGGGTCTGTGTCGAGATTAATTTAGAGGAACCAGTTGTAGGAAGGTTTTTTCTCAATGGTGTGTGGTATAATGTGGAATATGAGGGATTACATTTGCTGTGCTCGTCGTGCGGTTGCTATGGACATGTGTTACGGAACTGCCCACACGCAGCTAGGTCGGAGTCAATGGCAACTGGCGTGGGTGAGAAGGAGACTACGGAACAGCCGCCAAGGGTTCCAACGCATAGTGAAGGTTCTGCTGCTCAAACGGGTGAGAAGTCTGATCCGCATGTCAAGGGGGGAATCGCGCCTGATCCTCATGGCGATTGGATGATCGTGAAACGGAGGAATCAGAAGCATAATTTTGGGAAACCGCAAGGTAAGGGCCGATTTTCTTCTCATAATGGAAGTGAGGAAATCAAGGAGCAGAATCATGCGTTGCCAAGTTATTCTAAGAAGGGTGCCCACATTGTGGCGGAATCACGTGCATGTATAAAAAATTCACGTGCTGCGAGAGAGCCTCCACGTGAACAAGCCCGTGTATTTGTTTCAAATATTGTTGATGGGGGCCACGGGATGATTGAGAATCAAAACAGTAAGGGCTCCACGCAAGATAGGAAGAAACGAAGTAGAGGAGAGGAGGTAGGTGCCCACTCACGGTCCACTCCAGCTAGCGAGACGGTCCCAGCGGTGATGAGCTGTCATATGGCCCGTAAACCGAGCAGCAGCCCTCATCTTGGCGAGCCACGTATTGTGATAGAAGGAGGGATGGGGGAACTACATACGAGTACGACATTTAATGTGCTTCATACTGGGTGCACTACTACCATACATAATGATTCCGAGGACAGTGTACAAGAGATTCTGGGAGATATCATGCAATACGACCAGCCATTGGAGACCATGTTGGCTTGAGTATATGCCGTAGTTGCTGTTCTTAATGACTACAAAATTTAACATTTTGAGTTGGAACATCAGAGGGGCTGTTAATGCCAAAGGTAAAAGGAGGGTCTCGGAGTTGGTAAGGCTCCACCACCCGTCTCTTTTTATTGTTTTGGAAACTCATTGCCAATTTTCCTCGGTGGAATCCTTTTGGAGGAAGTTGGATTATCAGTTGTGTTATAGCGTGGAGGCTACGGGGCATTCCGGGGGTATTTGGGTATTGATGGCGGGGTCTTGCACTACTAACATATCTGCATTTGCCTCTCATCCGCAGGCTATCTCGTTTAAGGTTGTTGAAGGAAGTAAGAGCTGGGTGTGTACGCCCGTTTATGCTAACCCTCGGGTGGACCTCTGACAGCGAGTTTGGGCTCATCTTCGGGAATTGGGGGGTCGGGTTACGTTGCCATGGCTAGTACTTGGGGACTTCAACCAAATTTTGTTGTCAACTGAGTGTAGGGGGGGTCTTTTCTCGTTATCATGGGCTTCACAGGTTCTGGAGGTTGTGAATGATTGTCACCTGCTTGACATGGGGGCCAAGGGTCTACGTTTTACGTGGTATCGTAATCAACGTGGGGTTGTGCTGGCTAAGCGGTTAGACCGTGCGATGTGTAATGTTGCGTGGCAAGCGCTGTTTCCGGAACCTTATGTTGAGAATCTGTGCAGGGTTTATTCTGATCATTGCCCTCTTCTACTACGGCAGGAAGGCTCAAGGGATATTTCTCATGATAGACCTTTTCGGTTCCAAGCTACATGGGCCACCCATAAAGACTTTGAGTGACTTGTTAAGGAGGCGTGGTGCCGGAGTACGCCGTCCCTTGCTAGGGGTCTATAAGCTGTTCGCGTAGATGCCATACAGTTTAACCACGAGGTGTTTGGGAATATCACTACTAGAAAGAAGGCTCTACAACGACGTCTCAGAAGGGTACAATTACAACTTGAGACAAGGGACTCAGAGAGCCTGTCGCGCCTGGAAAAGGCCATTCAAGCGGAGTTAGATGAAACGTGCCTTCAGGAGGAGTATTTATGATTTCAAAAATCGAGAGAGAAGTGGGTCAGGTTTGGGGACCGTAATACGTCCTTCTTCCATGCTCAAACTCTTGCGAGGAGAAGGAGGAACAAAATTCAGGGATTGTTTCTACCAGATGGGTCTTGGCACACGGATCCTGGGGTGTTGAAAACTGAGGCAGTCCGATTCTATAGAGAGCTTTTCTCAATTGATAACGAACAAGAGTCTCTAGATATGCATACTGGGGTTCCACCTGGCCTGGGAGTTGAGGCCCAATTGGCTTTAACTGCACCAGTCACGAAGGAGGAGGTTCGCCGGGCGGTGATGAGTATGAAGTCATACAAGGCACCAGGGCCGGACGGGTTTCAACCGTTCTTTTTCAAGCAGTATTGGCCTATTGTGGGCGATGAGTTATGGCGTACAGTGAAAGATGCTTTTCGGTTGGGGTTCTCGGAAGTCTCACTATTGGAGACTCAAATGGTGTTAATTCCGAAGGTGGATCATCCGGTTAGCCTTAAAGAGTTTCGCCCTATCAGCTTATGTAATGTTGCCTGGAAGGTTATTTCTAAAGTGCTAGTGGCTCGTCTAAGACCCTTCCTGCAGGATGTCATTGGCCCTTTCCAGGGCAGTTTTATCCCTAGGAGGAGGACTCGTGATCATAGTATTATTGCTCAAGAAGCCTTCCATTTCGTACGGAAGGAAGGCTCAGGTGTGGGGTCTTTGGCTGTAAAAATTGACCTTGAGAAGGCATATGACAGGGTCAGGTGGGATTTTTTGGAGTCTACGCTGGTGTAGTTTGGGTTTCCACCAGTCACAATCCAACTTATCATGTGGGGGTTGAGGAATTCGACAATCTCACTCCTTTGGAATGGAAGCACATTACCGTCCTTTGTTCCGTCTCGTGGCCTTCGGCAGGGAGATCCATTATCACCATATCTGTTTGTCTTCTGCATGGAGCGCCTAGCCCTTAGGATCTCGGAGCTGCTCTATGAGGGTCAGTGGAAACCGGTTCAATTATCCCCTAGGGGGTTACCACTTTCACACCTTCTCTTTGCTGATGAAATTTTACTATTTGGTCAAGCTTCAGAGGACCAAGCCCGTTTGATGGCGTCAGTCTTGGAAGAGTTTTCGCGTTCATCAGGCTTGAAAGTCAATTCGACTAAGTCTAAGTTTGTGAGCTCTAGAAGGGTTTCATAGAGGAGGATTGATACGTTGGAGGGATTGCTTGGGATTGGCCACTCGGCTCGGATCGGGAAGTATTTGGGGATCCCCATGACTCATGGTCAGCCGAGGTGCGCAGATTTTTTTGATGTGATGGATAAGATCCAGGGTAGACTTGCGGCTTGGAAGTCCAAGCTTCTTAATAAGGCTGGTAAGTTGTGTCTCGTGAAGTCCACCATCTCCTCTATTCCAGTTTATAGTATGCAAACCTTGTGGCTTCCTCAAGCAGTGTGCAATAGAATTGATTAGGCTTGTCGCCGTATGCTCTGGGCAAAACCTGACAGCACACAGTTTTGGTCCCCAGTGAGGTGGGATGTTGTTACTAAACCCAAGACGTTGGGTGGCCTGCGGGTTAGGGAGGCGCAAAAGGTGAATGTATCACTCCTTGGGAAGTTAATTTGGGACCTGCTTACGCTCCACAAAAACCTTGGGTTTATATCCTCAGTAATATATACCTACATGGAGATTCGATCCTGTGTGCGCAAAATAGGCGGGGTGCTTCTCCAATCTGGTCAAGTCTTGTTAAGGCCCTTCCTTTCGTTAACTATTAATTAATGATGATGTTGCATGTTGACTTTCATAACACTTTAATGTTAATATGAAATAGTAATATGACACTTTAATACTGACGAAAATAAGTGAAATAGTGTTGATTAATCATCAGTAATCAAAATGTACCTTTTTGCTACATAATAATGAAATGTGCCCTTGCATAAATATTGTAATCATGTTGTTTTTTAAATTCACAAATTTTGTCCACAACATCTATTTTATATTCACCTACGAATAATTTATCCGTCTATTATGCAAGTTTTATAACAATAATTTTCTAGATTTCAACAAACAATGATAAGTATAAATATTTAAATTTTGTGTAGACTAAATATTTATAGGTAAAAATAGACCCACAATCATTATATTTTGTAAGAACAAAATATCCTTAGAAATATTTATTTTTCTTATATATAGTAGTGATATGTCAATAAGATCTCATGATTTTGAAGATGAACTCGAGGTAAATAATTCTACAATATTATCACAAACCCTTTATCAAGTTTGTTTAAATGAATATAAGAATATTAATGAATTAATTAATACAATAATATAATGTTTAACTATAATGTGATGAACATTTTTGCAAGCATAACCTCTTATTAAAATATATATTATGATGTGAGTTTAAGATATATATAAAGTCAATTTATAAGATAAAACTGTTCACCTCTTATATACATTATATATTATTTTAGTTATATTACTAGTTGATATGACATTTGCAACAAATACTTATCATACTAAAAATTGAATATTTCAAAAATGAAGTTTACATAACTGGATATCTATATGTAATCTAATAGATTAGCAATAATTGTTAAGATAAAATTCCAGTATCATATTGCAGACACCAACAAAACGGTCGCTGACTGCTGGGTTAGCAGAGAGTGGGACTTCACTTCCTTATATATTGCTATTCCGGCGGAATTGATTCATTCGGTCCAAAGGTTGCGTGTCGCCAACTCCTTCTTGGGGCTGGATCATTTTGCGTGGAGGGGAGATAGCTCGGGTTGCTTTACAGCGGCGTCTGGGGATCGTTTCCTGTCTACGGGCTCGCCACCCGTAGGGGATCCAGTTTGGACGCAGCTCTGAAAGTTAATGCTCCCTGAGAAGGTTAAGTTCTTTCTATGGTAATGCCTTCATTCAGCTCTTCCAACGAATCAGGTTCGGCTGATAGGAGGTTGGCCGAGTCTTGTGCGTGTTCGCGTTGCTCTTGCCCTCAAGAAACTATTTTACATGCACTTCGTGATTGCCCGTATTCGCGGGAGGTGCTGATGTCTGGTGAGATAAGTGTGGGCTGGTCTTTCTCTGAAGTGGATTGTTTCCAGTGGCTGAAAGGGATTATTTTGCATAAGGATGCTATTAAGCTTTCTATCACTTTGTGGTGGGTCTGGCGGTTTAGGAATAACATGCTGTTTAACGGCGAGCTTTGGATGATTTCAGTGGTCCGTCGGAAGGTGACAATGTCTATAGTGGAGAACAGTGTGTACAACACTAAGAGGCGTTTCTGGGTGGAGCAAACACTTTGGAGGCCTCCGGAGCATCTGTGGGTCAGACTGAACACGGACGGGAGTTGGTTGAGTGGGGCTTCTGCTATGGGGATGGGCGGAGTAATCTGCGATTGGGCAGGTATGTGGCGGGGTGGCTTCTCGCGGGGAGCTCTTCATGGCGATGCGTTACGTGCCGAGCTATTGGCCTTGGAGGAGGGATTATCATTTTGTTGGGAAGGTGGGTTCCGGAAGGTGAATTGCGATTGTGATTGCCTGGGTGCAGTTACGCTTTTTCAAGACCGGTCAACGGACCGGGATTATCTGCATAAGCACTATGATGTTATTCGTCGTATCAAGTGCATCATAGCTAGGGAATGGGTTGTTTATGTAAGCCATATTCCTAGAGAGATGAATTCAGTAGCTCATACGCTGGCTAATTGGGGTGCACGGAACATAGGTTCCAATGTATTTTGGAGGAGTCCTCTTGACTTTATCTTGTTACCGTTAGGTAGAGACTCTATGTCTTGAGTTGTCTGCTATTTTAGTTTTCATTCTTTACCAAAAAAAATAACTTCAGGTTTCGATTTAGAAAAATAGATCACTTGCATGGCAAGTTTGTTTTATACCTTTTTCTTTTGTTTTGAAATACAATTTTTTTTGGTATCATTTTTCGTTTGAGTGCATGCCAGTTATTATAAGTA